CCGTTGTCGGGTATTCCAACTAATTATGCCAATCTGGTAGCGATACCGCCTTCATGTAGTGATGCACTGACCTCCTGGTGGTACGCAGCTTTGCTGTTGTCCGGTTCGATACCACGCCTAATCTAACAGTCTTGTGTGCTTCGCCACTCTGATTCCCAGGGCTTAGGTTTCCGGTTTCCTTGACTGAACAGCAAGTCCTCGTGATTATGGTGTTTACCCCGTCCGCTGTTCATCACACGTGGGTGTGTAATAAAAAAACAAAACAAGATACGGGTGTTCAAACAGCCCGAATAGACCGGTCGGTTTGTGCAATAGTTTCCAAATAGCTCATATTTGACTTCGACTACTGAAGAAGCGTAAGGCGTTTCTCGTTCAGGTGACGCTAGAGCATTAGGATTTCATAAATTTCCATAATGACACTCGGGAATAGTTTGCAAAGTTAACCCCCATTATTAATCGATGTTTGATCAAAGGGACACATCTAGCCTTCGTAGAAAGATCACAAACGGCTGAATTTTTTTCGTTCGCTGCAAACCGCTGCGACAAGTTCCGTCTTTTCTGCTACCCTTCAGTCAGTGATCATGATATGCCCCCACTGCTTTGTTGCCAACTATTAATGTCATTGAAATAACGACCATCGTTCAAACCTCCAGAAGCCACCATTCTATATTGATGGGGATAATTTTTTCAACCACTAGGTTTATCTTGCAGCTACGATAGATTGTTTGTAAAATTTAATGATATCTGGGTGATAAAACTTTGTTTTATTCAGGGCTCATCAACACTCACAGTCATCCTGCCAAATGGATGGGCTTTAGGCATTCTTCAATTTAGTGAATCTGCAGTTTTGAGCAATCTTTGATACTCGTTTGTCTGTCTACATTTTCAGAAATGTCTCCGCTGGTCAGGGTGCTGAAGTGCTTTTTTCTGTTCAAGAGACTCCCAGTGGGGACAACAGTTTGCTTGCCAATTCTCCCGATGATGCGAACTCGCAATCCGGCGTTAGTCACTACGGTCCCGAAGTGAACCATTTCGAGCTGCCAGCATGGTGGCCCTGCCACGTACAACGAGTGCGTGACGAAGTTGCCGTAGTCAAACTAGATGTCAAACCAATGCCAAATGCATCTGCCGCGGATCAGGCTGTTTGCAATCAGCTGTCGACCATCACGGATATAGTGAATCGAACCTCCATCAGACAATCAGCGACAGATGCACCCCATCTCACTTCAGATACTATCCTCCGGCATTGCATTGAAATTCCAAAGGAACTGGCCGATTTGTGAGTGTCTAATCCTTAAATCCATCCTCGAACAAACCGTGTTTCACAGTTTGTGTTTTAGTCTTTCCCGACACAGCACCTTCAGTAATAGCTCATTCCTCTAAGGTTATCACCCTTACAGCTGCTTGATTATTTCTTATTCTTTCTCTGATTTCGTTAAAATTGATTTCAACTTCTTAAGAATTCTTGATATTAGTTCACCAAAGCACAAGCACCGTTTTGTCAAATCCATCCCCAGAGCTTTGCTGCACTTTTACTGGTGCCCTACCGCAGAAAAAACTGCCTAACGGCATAATTAAGTGATTTCTCTGAACCACCGGATGACTCAAGCATACTCTACGAAACGACTGAAAAACAAATAACTCTAAACACAGTTGACCGGATGCGCTAGTGCTAATGCGATACGCGAATCTCATGATCTGTTCGCCTGTGGGGCTAAAGGTTAAGCTACTATGGCCTGTCTAACCGCAGTTTTGGTCATCATCCTCTTTTTGGCCCTTCTGGACTAGAAGTAGGTGATGACGGTGACCTTCATAAATTGCTATACTTTAATTCATTTGGTAAGAAGAAAACTAAAGGGCTCCTCCCGATCAGGTTAGTCGAAAACTTCCTACAGATCGAGAAACACTGCGATTTTCGGTCGGCCAGGTGTGCAGTGTAGAGGAATTGATCAACACATCATACCGGTAGAAATTCTACATGCTATTCTTAGATGTTCTTTTTATTAAATGCGTCATCCCAAATTCAAACTTTTATTATGGCTGATGCTTATTGAGTCCCATAGGATCTGTGCACACTGGGTTCGGTTGGTAGTACAATTAAATGGCAAATTATAACGTTCACTCACGAGTGTTTCAATGCTTCATCCATCCTTAGCTTGAATTAATCAATGGTTGATGCACAAGCAACTTGAGGTGGAAGAGTTCCAGGTATTACAAACTCTGAGTTTGAAAGAATGACTCTTTTGGAGCAAAAGTTCAAACGGATGTCTTCTAAGGTTGCCATTCCTGAATAGTGCTAGTAGAGTACCACACGGGTGGTTCGGTCGATGTAGTATCTGATATAAGAGGATCATGTCTCACCGTATCCGACGGTTTTCAGACGAATACAGTCCGAGAATTTGCAGTCTTTCGCCGTAGGTCTTAGACTGTAACCCTTTGGCCATTTTGGTTGCTGTTCTCTGCCGACAAGTGAGGCTTTAGAGTGTTGTTAAGTATAACACCTTTTCTGTGCTAGCCTATTCAATTTGTTTCATCCTGATGCTGAGAAGAAGTGTCTGAGGAGCAATCCAGGCGAACTATACAGTAGTTCGTATTCCGACCATCCTCAATTCGCTTCACCAGCGGACGACAAACATCAATTACCAAAACCCCTTGTATGTGTTAGACGAGCCTGTTGAGCCGCATTCATTCAAATCCTCATTTTGAAGGTCTCAGATTCATAGGTTGATGGAGCGTCAGAACCGGTAGTTCATTCAGTTGTTCATCACACGCTGCTATTCCTCAATGTGTTTTGGGCGAATGATAACCAAATTCTGGCGGAGTATCACGGGTAGGAAGGATGGACTAAGGGAGAAGATTGTTTATGAGAAACAATGATTGAAACAGAGAGCGGAATATCTGTACAGTATTCGGCATCTCCCCCCCCCCCCAGACAGAACAACGTCGTCCTGCGCGACGACTGAGGAAGTATTTAATCTGTTTTAATTTGTGGCCTTGGTAACTTTTCGGCTGAGTACTGTTAAAGGGTTTAACCACTAGGCAGATATGATTACGGTTCTCAGTCAAAACAATTAATTGTTTCAAGAACTTAACCACAAGACGGTGGATAAAGCGAAATAGAGGTTCGTCTATTTGGATCAATTTTTAGCGACGGCGCGCCAGTTCAAGTTGAATTTGGGTGACCAGTCGACTGGGATTCGTCTGAATTCTATNCTATCAGGAATGGTTAGATCTTCTGACTTGACGTTTGTTTTGCTCATTGGGACATTGAAGTTGACGAGCCATCACACCACACTAAGTTGTATTCCCGTCGCAATGGGATACAGTCTCGCCATTATCCGACTTATCCACGTAATCATAAGTTAACATCTG